GAGTTCTTCTTGTTTTAGATGATGTTCATGAAAAAGATCAACTATACACATTTCTTAGAATACGAAATTGGTTTTTTCCAGGAAGTAGAATCATCATAACAACCACGAACATGCAATTGTTGAAGCCGTATGAAGTTAAGATATATAATGTTGAGGCAATGGATGATTATGACTCCCTTAGGCTCTTTAGTTGGCATGCTTTCGGGCAAGGCCATCCCATTGAAGGTTACTTGGAGTACTCAAAACAGGTTGTACAGCATTGCAAAGGGCTTCCTTTGGCTCTTCAAGTTTTAGGTTCTGCTCTACGCGATAGAAGTGTGGATGTATGGAGAAGTGCATTAAAGAAATTCGAAGCAATTCATGACAGCAAAATGCAAGATAAACTTGAAATAAGCTACGGGTGTTTAGAAGATGACCACGACAGAGATTTGTTCCTTGAGATTGCCTGTTTCTTCGTTGGAATGGACAAGGCTTATGTAGTTACTATACTAGATGAATGTGGTTTCTTTACAACTGTAGGGGTTCAAAATCTTATGGATAGATGTCTCCTAACAACAGATGAGCATAACAAGTTGATGATGCATAAATTGATTCAGCAGATGGGAAGAGAAATTATTCGGCAGTCAACTAAGGATCTTGGCAAGCGTCGAAGATTGTGGCATTATAAAGATTCCTTTAAAGTGTTGAAAGAAAAATCTGTAAGGAAATTATCTTTTTATGTGTATATACGTGACTGTTTTTATCTGTTACCATGTTATTACCCCTCCGATGTTTTTCTATTAGGGCACAGATATAATCGAAGGCCTTGCTCTCAATATGAATATGCTTGAGGAAGATAAGCACTGCATGAGAATCTTCAACATTAACAATTCATATGAGGCCAACTTGGGAACCGATGCATTCACAATGATGCACAAATTAAGACTCCTACAAATTAATTATATACGACTTATTGGAGGCTACAAAGAGTTTCCAAAGAACTTGAGATGGTTGTGTTGGCATGGGTTTCCTTTGAAATTTGTGCCAAGTGATTTTCCATTGGAGAACCTGGTTGCCATTGATATGCGCAATGGCAGCTTAGAACAGGTATGGAAGGAATGCAAGGTATGGTACTGGCTACTTTTGCCCTCCTCTTTTTACCTTCTATTTTTAGGGTTTCTAGGTTTTCATGTCTCTAACATATGCTTCCCCACTTGTTTTCCCTTCTTTCACAGGTTCTTAGGTTATTAAAGATCCTTGACCTCAGACACTGCCATGCCCTTACAAACACCCCTGATTTCTCATGGCTCCCTAATCTTGAGAGATTGATCCTAAAAGATTGTGTAAAATTGGTTGAGGTTGATGGATCAATTGGATATCTTGGAAGACTTGTTTTCCTCAATCTGAAAGATTGCAGAAATTTAAAGAAGCTTCCAAGAAACATAGGCATGCTACAATCAATCAAAATATTAAATATTTCTGGTTGCTCAAATCTTGAAGAGTTGCCGTCAGAGCTAAGAGAGATGAAAGAACTTAAAGTGCTCTATGCCGACGGAGTCAACCTAAGCCTATTACCCTCAATTACCACACAGAATACTTCTTGGCTTTCATTCATGTGGTTTGGGAGATCTAAACCAAGAAGGCATCCAGAATTAGCAAAGGCAATTTTGCCACATTCTTTAGTGACATTAAGTCTTCAAGGATGCAACCTATCTGATGGTGATTTTCCTGAGGATTTTCAGAGCCTACCCTTGTTGAAGGTGCTACATCTAAGCGAAAATTCAATCCATAGCCTACCAGATTGTGTCAGAAGTCTTAATAGTCTCGACACGCTCCGTGTAGATTCATGTTCAAAGCTGCAAACACTCACAGGGCTACCCCATATAAAATACAACTTATTTACGAGCGATTGCCCGTCATTGGAAAAAATAGAATATGCATCATCTTTGGCCTCTGCACCATGGTTCGACTTAAATAAATGCAAGAATCTAGTGGAGATGCAAGGGCATTTCAAGTTAGAACCTGTATCAAACATTAGTGCAGAAGTTATCAATAATTTGCAGTTGTCCAACATAGAATCCCTCAGAAGCACTAAGGTGGAATTGTTCAATCAGTTAACATCAACGACAAGCAAACTCCCCATCCAGGTGCTCTCTCTCTCTCTCTCTTCCCTCCCCCAAAAAAAAAACTGCTTGGGTGCAGCTGTGAAAGTTGAAAATTGAAATTATAATTTTCATGGCATAGGTGCTGTCCGAAGATGGAATATTCAGCATATTTCTTCCTGCAAGCGAAGTTCCAGACTGTTTTGACAATAGAAAAGCAGGATCCTCAATATCTTTTACTGTCCCTTCAGCTCTTAATCTCACGATTCACAAGCTGAACATGTGTTGTGTTTATGCCATGGATGAAGAAAAATTTTCGGAGAAAGTAGTAATTAAAACTGAAATCAGTAATGAGACCAAGAACAAGGTGATCTATATGCCAACATTTTGCGGAGTTCCAGAACCAGATGAACATATGATGTGGATAAGTCATTGGAAGCTTAGATTTCAGTTCAAACCTGGCGATAAACTGAGTGTTTCAATTTCAATGGGTAATGTAAAGGTAAAAGAGGTTGGAGTCCGTCTTGTGTACGACGAGCAGGAAGACAAGGATGAACAATCAAGTAGTGACGTCAACCTTACACCTGCATCGGTATATGGGGACACACTTGTGTACTACTTTGGTGATCAACCGCTCTCATTGCGTAGGGGGAAGTCAGTACTGTCCCCAGAGGTCTTCCTTTATTTACAGCAATCTCCATGGAAAAAGAAGACAAGAAAAAGGAAGAGAAATTAAAAAGAGGAAAGAGGAGAAGAAACAAAGAGCAAATTTGTAGTTATTCCCTTTTTGTTTTCCCTTATCATGTGCCAATCAATAGAAAAGGAAAGAGAAATTATAACTTTTCCCTTCCTTTCTCTTCCTTTGTCCTCCTTCCAAACACTCTGTACTAAGCATTTAAAACACTTGAAAATCAGCCTTAACTTCACCGTTTATATTCTGGCCCAAATTTTGTCCATGTTTTTCTTCTATCTTCGATGTGCAATCTTTCTCCTATCTATTTCCTTTTCATGCCTTAAGTGTACTATTTTAGTTCAACCACACACTTTAAGGAACATAATTCATCATTCCCCCTGGCTCATGAGGGAATCTGGAGTCTGCTATTGTTGCATATTAACAATCGAGGCAAGACAATAATTTAAAGATTACAGTGAATCTTCTGCAAAAGAATAAGGAAAAATTATAAATATATAATTGAAAAAACAAATGGTTGAATTACTGGTAGAGGAAGAAAGGAAACTATTCATTGGTGACAACAAAGATGGTTTTCACGAAGACACTTGAGTTGGCGTGCATCCGATAACAAGGAGGCATTTCCACTTCAAAGAAAATGCCACATTCCATCTCTGCAATTAGTTTTCTTTAGTCAAACCTGCTTTACTAGAGACATTGCCATTCCACATTGGAATTTTCTAAATTCAAAGAATCACTGGATTTGCAGTAGTCATTTATTAGATCATAGTATCATGGCCTCACATCCCAAAAGCTTAAGGTGTTAGGTGGAGAACCGCCCAAAATCTTGTTAGTTCATATGACACCCTCTACCTAAGCGATGTGGGATTGGTGACAATAAGCACCTACTTAAGAAGGAAAGAAGAACTATTTGCATGCATGATGCCTCTCAAACACAAAAATTAATTCATTGGAATAGTTCTAATCCCCACCTTGGGGCTTGTTAACGCAACAAGAATTTTCCTGGACTACCCTGGTGCATATGTGAGGGTGCAATTATGCAATCTAGGGTCTACTCGGTTCAATTACGACTCATGGAGTCAAAATTCCTCGTCATCCAAGAAAAAAATCCTTTTTCTGAGTGTGTCTTTAGCTTGAATAACAGAACCACTGTTTTAAAGTCTACTTACGGTACTTTTTGCTAAGAAGCTAGTTTAACTATGACAAGGGAGTGGAATCATGTTTGTGGGTCTCTTTGAATGTGTTTCCAATGAGAGTTTTATGATAAAGGATTTCCCAGAGAGACTTAGAGATAACAGTTGGGTAAGACTTTGGTTGGGCAATGTTATGCAGAATTTGACTGCTATATAAAGCATGCAGGCACATAGGATAAGGAATTGAAATGGATAATTAAAAATGATTCAGTGCAAATTGCAGCCAATTTGTTCCTATGCGTACAAGACCCAACATTGAAGTGTGGGGGATGACTGGTGGAGGCATGAGTAGACACCACATTTTTAGTTTGGCAAAAGAACACAAATTATGAAATGGGAGAGCAGCATAAGGAGACTCTAATATGGGATTTTTCCAACCCCCCCCCTTTTTTCCTCGTAATGCTGTCTCTTGTGTGATATATTCCATAATAATTTCAATTACCGATATGGGAGAAATTCTTAGAAGTTCCAGAGCTCAAAGCAGACCAAGCGGAACTCGTGGTTTTTTATCTAAATAAATGCATACTTAATAAATAATTTCAAATTAAAGAGTGGAACTTCAGCTTTATGCATACTTATCAAACATTTTGGTTCAATTCAGTACTTAAATTTTAATTTATACCAAACAATTTGCGAATTAAAAATTCAAAGTCAGTGCTTAAAATTTATCATTCAATTTTCATTTTTATCAAACACTAATTAAGAGAATTATTTGTAACAAGAACTAAATTGAAATATTTTTGTTTAGTAGAAACATCATTTTAGCTATGCTTCTATATACGCAAAGACTTGTGAAGACAACTGGAAATTTTGATCAGCAAGCATTCTTCACAAATTTTTGCCTTCTTTTAGTGATCAACCCAATTAGTCTTTCCTAGGTGAAACTTCCAGATGACTTTAGTGCGATTCTGACATTATTAATCTTCTCTTCCTTTGTACCCTACCTTCTTCTATTAGCACTACTGGATACTAGTAGAGAGAGGGGGGGGGGGGAGAGAGAGAGAGAGAGAGAGAGAGAGTATGGAGTAAGCATCTTTACTTGCAACGGTAGAACTTCTGCTTGTAGAAGTGACAAATCACTTTATCACTACCAGCGACATCACCCAAAAAAAACCCTTCTGTTCTGTCCTTACACTCCCCGTGCCCTTCCTTCTTTAATGCTTCTCGCTTCTCAGCTTCTTTCTCCTAAACAAATATAAAGCATAACATCATTTCAATTATCAGAAAGCCTACAACAAATCAATATAATTGCACGACGCGGCACTTGAAAAGACAGGAGCCCAGGATTACAAACCTAAAAGGCCTCGATCCTATCTGAATGCAAATTTCCAAGATCTGATCCTAAAATCATCTAAAGAAATTAAACTAGTATGAAAGACATAACTAAATATCAAGCAGGATGCAATAAAGTTGCATTCTGATATCTCCAACTTACTTACATCCACCAACCCATCAAGATCAACCTCCTGATTATCAGATATATATGCCTGTCCCTTCTCTTGAGCCAGTAATTCTTAAAAACTCAGGAGATACCAAAACATATGCATAGAAGAATATATCGCCAACTACCGGAATAATTAAAATCACCCAAGAATTCAAACAAGGTTTTGTTCCAATCCAGTAAGAGTGAATTAGTCTTAGAACTCTCCAATGGTATGACATGCTCTTTTTTCCATTCATTCCCTTTCATAATCAGTTAATTTTCCCCAGTCATACAACTTTTTCTACCACTAAGACAATTCTGTTGCTTGTATCAACTTTTGAGGAAACAAACGGATAATGACTGAATATTCAAGTATCCATGCGTTGAATAAGATCTAAGATCCATCTTCTTGACGTAAAATTCATATTAAAATACATGTTCCACATTACAAAAGAAGCAATCACGGTGGCAGATCAAATCAATAAACTATCGTGACCCTCTCCAGAGCAAGTTCTTGTAGAGTATCTTAGTTTCTCTGCACAACGATGATAATAACTGGTTTGAGAAATTTAGTGACAGATAATAAAAATTTCAGGCCTAGAAATGTGCACAATTTTAAGCAGGTGAGCTGAGATACAGAGACAAGTTAGAAAGATATCACAAGAGGAGGAATCAAGAAAGACAGAGATAAGAAAAAGATAGAGCTATTTGCTTCTCCTATTAGGTCTCAAACAGTTTTAAGTCTTACAATCTCTCACACATTTCATAGTACCTAAGCGGATTGTGTTATGTCCATTTCATGTTTTCAACAGGATAATCCTTCACACTCTATTGTGAGTATCCAAAGCATATGTAAAACATTGGGAAGAGGCAATTATCAACAAAAACCATGAAAGACAGAACCGCATTGAGAACAAACATGACCATACCAGAATAATTAATCAGTAAATGTACCAAATATATTCCATTGTGGTAAATCAAGAAGTATATAGCAAAACTTCAAATTGAAGAAAGTAGACATGAGAATATGCAAATAAAGAACACACCTTTTGATAACCACGAGCTGCAGCTGCCATTCCATTTCCAAAAGCTAAGTTGGACTTGGATATAGTCAATTTGACTGAATTCAGATCCATTTCAGTGTATACCACTGTGAAAAATTAACACACACCAACGAGACAAGGATTATGGTTAAATTTTGATAGCTCAATGACTAAAGAGCCAGAAATATAATCAAATAGAACCATTAACTACACCAAAATCACGAGTAAACAAATGATGATCATTTAAACTCAAAACAAATCGACAACTTAAATCCTGAGGTGCTCAAGTCAGATAGAACTAGGAAAATTGTAAAGGCCTTACTTCGAGATCTCAAATTGAAAAGCAGCCTTCAGAACCAACGCTGCTGAGTGAAATGTCTCTTCCCTAAGCAGCTGGTGCACAAAAGGGCCAGGAAGTTTAACCTGGTCACACGCCAATTGAAGTTCTAGTTGATTTATGCTTGGTTTCACATAACTACACTGGTTTTTTTTTTTATTTCCCTTTCCTGTGGTAAAGGAAGTCAGGATGGAGATTACCAAATCCAAGCCCAGCTTACGAAGAACCCACATTGAACCCGAATTTAATCCCATTCAAATCTCTATTTTCATCCATTGAACTCAAGCTTCATCCCAAATTTAGGACTCAAGTCCAATTGGAGTTTAATAATGTTAACATAATCAATACACGAGTTGAAAGATTCAAATTAAATTGGGATTCAAACTGAATTTACAGCAAAAGATTTTTTAAAATTGCAACTGAGTGCATTTGACTTCTTAACTTTTCTTAGACACATACATTGGTGATGACAATTGAAATGTGACAATACAAAAATGGAGGATGGCCTACAATGATTCAATTTAGGACCTCAGGGATTTCTCACCATATTTTTCATGGGATTCTCTTCTCTCTTCCTTTTCTATGCTCAGATTATTAGAGGATAATAAAAGGAAGATATAGTAACATCTGAGTCTATGTACTTAATTGCACTGATAGGGTTCATGAACATACCCAGAGTAAGTTCTTCTAGACTTTGAGTGGTCCTACTTTCAAAATTCAAGTCTAGAGAAATGTAAAATTTGAACAGGTGAGTTGAGATATAGAGAGTATCGCGACAGGAGGAATCAAGTAAAAGAGGCAGAGACAAAGAGACAGGCAGAGCCATATATTTCTACTCTTGCTCTCAAACAGTTTGTAAGCCTACTTCAAACGTTTCATAGTACTGCTAAGTGGATTGTGTTCTCTCATTGTATTTTTTCAACAGGATAAATCCTTCACAATCTATCGGGCAAGCATCTTAAGCCTATCTAACAATCTAGGATGACACAATATCCAACAAAATCATGCAATTAAGGTTAAAAGTATCAATCGATACTAATAAAAGTCGGTTGAGTCATATCCGACTTAGTACCATTCTAGTCGATACCGTTATACGTTACATATAAACACCGAGTCTCGCCCGGCTCGGCCTAGCTGTCGAGTTGTTTCTGAGTCAATTTTGAGTTGTTGAATTATAGTCACCGAATTGACAAATATGGTTCCACAATGCCACGATATAACTTGAAATTTATTGCCAAGTTCAACTTGTTCTTTTCGGTCGTATTGAATGCAACTCTAGCATGACCCATTGACCAATGTGTCTTAGAGACCTTCAAGTTAACGGTCAATATTGCGATCTTGAACCATGCATGCAATACAGAACCACATAAAGAATCACATGAACATACAATAATAATCGACCAGTAAATGTACCAAACAAATTTTCCATTGCTGTAAATCAATAAGTACATTACAAACTTGAACTTTCAGACAGTAGACATGACAATATGCAAATAAAGAACACACCTTATTCATAATCACAAGCTGCAGCTGCCATTACATTTCCAAATGCTAACTTGGACAGAGTCACTTGGACAGAGTCAATTTAAAAGAATTCAGATCCATTTCTGTGTATATTACCGTTAAAAATTAGCAGATACCAACAAGACTTTAGGAATTTAGTTAAATTTCAAATATTCAATGACTAAAGAGAAGGAAAAATATCATCAAATAGAACCATTAAATACATCCAAATTACAATTAATGATCATGTAAACCCAAAACAAATCAAAAACTTGAATCCTGTAGAGTTTAAATTTGATGGAAACTAGGAAACTTGTGCTCAGATTTGGGAAATCCGGTGGATTTCTCACTGGATTTTCTTATCCCTTTCTTCTCTATGCTCAAATTATGAAAGCAGAATACGAGGGAGATATGGTAACATTTGAGTCTATATACTCAATTGCTTTGATAGGGATAATAATTTTGTTTTAGCTCTAGCTCGAATCGACATTAAGAAAGGTTTAGCCCATGCCACAATGTCTAAATTAAATTATATGATGTTAGGCCTCGAAAGAGGTTACTAAATGACCACATTACCAACTGATACATCTTCATAAGCAAAGAAAGAAAGCAAAAGCGACTTATACAGTTTACACGAGCAAAATGGGAGGATCTGAGCTATTGAATTATCAATCTTGATGCCTTGACTAATAGGCCTCAAATTTACAAGTCTGGGTCAAGCCCAGTAAGATGAAAATGCAGGTTCAACATTTGAAGGCAAACTTGTTCTCATAAATTAAGAAATACACCAACCAACACCTGCGCAAAGATCTTCAACGTAGCTGGAATAACCATTTTTTTAACAACCCTGCCTTAAAAATTGTTGTACAACTCATCCATAAATATACAGCGCTCTCATTTTCTTGTTCACGGCATCCGATGTCTTCTTCCTCTAGTGGATCTTTTCATACAGTTCCTTAAGGTTCTATTAGCAATTTTCTCAGTTTTCATCCTTTTGGCCTCCTTTTCAGCTCCACTAGTTTTTTTTTGCTTGTTATCATGGGCTTCAAGCGCCAGATTTTTTTCCTCCTCAATGTTATTGGCTTCACTTTTTTTTCGCTTTAGGAAGTTAACTACTTCACCAAGAGCTATGTCAGCATCGTCGCTCTTCATTAGCTCCTCAGCAATTTCTGCAGGGGTCGCCTGTACATTCTCAATTAAGCTTTCAATCTCACCAAAGAGCCTGTGGGGATCGCCCAGGCCAAGGTAATTCGTAGCCAAGAGCCTAAATCCTTGAGTTGTACAGTAGGACATGTGAATGTGCATGTCCATTCGACCAGGTCGAAGCAGAGCAGGATCAAGGCGGTCCTTATGGTTGGTTGTAAAAACAATGATCCTTTCATCTCCACAGCTCGACCACAATCCATCTATGAAGTTCAATAGCCCCGACAGTGTCAACTGCATTAAGAAGAATTTAAGTCTGACATTCTAGATTCGATGTGTAGAATTAATCGATTTGGATACTAAACCCCTTACACTTCATAAATATTTTTAAATAACTCTGATCGGACAAAACATAGTTGACAAGACAGAACCCGTGGTAAACAATTAGAAATTAGACAAGGAAATAATTTTGGGTATGACATAATTTGGAAACGGCACAAAATTATTCTGAAAAAACAAAAACCTTAAAAACTAACCTTGGTGTTGGAAGAGTCATTCCCCAACTGCCGCTCTTGCATCTCGGCACTGCAATCGATGTCCTCGATCACAATGATCGACCGATTCGTAGTGGACACCAAAATCCTCCTCAATTCCGAGTTCGAGTACAAATTTGTAAGCTCTAAATCATATATATCAAACTTCAAATAATTCGCCATCGCCGCAATCAAGCTCGATTTCCCAGTCCCAGGAGGCCCATACAACAAGTACCCCCTCTTCCAAGCCCTCCCAACCTTCTTGTAAAACTCTTTTCTCTTCACAAATCTCTCTAAATCATCGATTATCGCCTTCTTCATCTCTTTATCCATCGCAAGAGTCTCAAACGTCGACGGATGCTCCAACTTGACCGAACCCCAAACCCCACCTCCCCCACCCTCATCATAATCGTATAGACAATTCATGGCATAGAGCTTCACTTCCTTGTCATTATCCTTTATCTCCTTGTACTTAGCCAGAACAAAGGGTAAGTACTCGCTCAACACTTTTTCTTTGAATTTCTTGTCAAAAGTGAGCTCGAAGAATCTTTTTTCTCCAGTATGCCGGTCCTGAGGCTCAACGGAGACGAATCTCCATTTCAGCTGAACGTTCTGGTGGGTATCGTCTACCTCTTCGTTTTTTCTGGATGCTGATGTTGAGGTTTTTTCTGTCTCGGAGTTTTGTGAACTTTGAATCGCTCAGCGTTGGGGCTGATTTTGGTGCCGAGGTATATCTCTGCGGCTTCGTAGACTTGATTACGAGTGAGTCCGCAGTGCTCGTCGACGATAACGGTGAGCTGAGTGGAGAGAGAGTGAAGAGGTAGTGAATCGCCGATTGGATGTAGGATCGGACTGGATTGGGGATGATCTCGTTGGCCATTGATCGGACTAACATCATCGACGCGGCAAGAGAGGCGTATGCCGAGAACAGAGTCGACGCCGATGATTGCATTTCTGAGAAGCCAAACATTTTCAGATTATTTGAGATTGGAATCCGAAAATGGAAATCAGAACTCGGAAATTTGCTCGAGTGTGTGTGACTTAAGATTGGGGTGTGAGAAACCGGAAGTTAAATAGCCACACCAGAGGGGAGAGAGAGAGAGAGATTCGAAACGTCGCCTGCAAGGAAACAAGCTTGGGAACTACGCTTTTGGCAATTTTGACACACGTTTTATTCCACCTTCGTCGGTAAGTCTTGCCTATTGGGGGACTTGTGCATCGATTCAAAAACAATTAATTAATCCATAAAATTAAGTTTTGAATTGGGCATTAAATAGGAAGAATTATATCATGTACCTTAAAAGATTTAAAAATTTTTATTTAAACCCTCAAAGATTTAATTATTTTTTTAAAAATTTGGACACACCTTTTTGAATTTACTATATCTTCAAAGATACTTATTTTAGTATTCGAAACATCACTGATACCATTTTTAGTTTGTATTTAAACATCAGTGACACTTCGTACCATTAAACCATTATTTTTAATAAAAAAAATTATCAAAAATACAAATATTACCCCTACATAACCCAAAAATAATTTTTTTTACATAAAATTTGATTAAAATTTGAACCAATTAATTTTTTTTTACATATTAAAATTTGAATTGATTAAAATTTATTTTTCTAAATATTAAAATTTAAGAAAATTAAAATTTGACCGAGTTGATTAAATTTTATTTTTTAATGTATTAAAATTCGAATCTATTAATTTTTTTTTACTTATTAAAATTCAAACCGATTTAAAAGCAACCTAAGCAGATAACGTCGATTAAAATTCGATTTAAGTTGATTAAAATTTATATTTTTTTATGTATCAAAATTCGGGCCGATTAAAATTCAATGTGAGTTGATTAAAATTTGATTCGATCTAATTAATCGGCTTGAATTTTAATACATACAAATAAATAAATTTTAATTAACTCAAATTCTGATACGTAAAAAATAAATTTTAATTAGTTCAACTTGAATTTTAATACGTAAAAATATTAAAAAAAATAGAGAGGGTCTTATTGAATATATGTCTATCTAGAGGGTGGGCATTAAGTTTTTTTTAAAATATATTATGAACAATTTTATAAAGTTGCATTTTAGTGAACGTCATTAATTTGATTAGGGGTGTTAGTGAAGATTCAGAAAATAGGGATTGTCCCTGAAGATATGATAAATTAGAAAGAGTGTGACTGATTTTTTTTTAATTTTTTATATTTTATTTTTAATGTATTAAAAATGTTGTGATGTGATCTTTCTGTTAGTTTTCGTTGCCCATTCCGTCAGCATCAATGAATTAATTTTTTTACAAAATAATAAATGAAAGCTAATGAAAGAGTTACATTATAATACTTCTAATACAA